AAACTGGGCAGCCCCCCAACCAATAAAGTGTTGTCCCGTCCACGTTCCGCTTGTCTCATTGGGTGCATGAGACTCGTGGCCGATCCCGAACAACGGACCGTCAACCAACGCACCAGCGAACAACACAATCAATCGAAATTCAAAGGCCATGCGNGCCTTGTGGGTCAGACTTTTGAGTCGAAGGCTCCGGTTAGGGTTCCCAAAGAAAAACCCTTCGTTGGTGTGGGCAGCTGCAAACTATGCCGTGCCCCAAACTCTTAGGTACCCATCTGGAAAACCATCTTTCTCAAATGTCTACTTCCTTTCCCGACTCCCAAACCTTAGCAGATGCATCCTGTTTGTGCCACCCATCGGATATCACTCAGCGTTCAACTAGTAAGATCAGTCAACCAGAAACATCCAGATTTTTGAATCCAAATCTTCTTTTCACTTAACCGCATTTACTGTCCGCACACTCTTTCAGATCGGTCAACAAGCTGCCCTAGCTATTACCCTTGAAACCTTCCATTTAGATATATACTGTTTCTCCGAAACACGCATACAAGACCCTACTTCGATCATCTTGCGTTTTCAAGTTCCAACTTCATCCTCACACTTCACTCTCCGTGTGTCAGGCGATTCAGTATTCGAAGCTCTCAGTTTTGCTGAGTGTCAAGGTCGAGCGTTCACCTCTTGACTGGATCCCGGTTAGTAGCCGAATTTCCGCTCTACGTCTCAGCGGTTCACTAGGGATCAACAGCTACAGAACGAGGCGTCAATGCTTATTCCTATTATCCGCATATGCACCAACTGATTGCAGTTCGCCAAAAATGAAGGATTAATTCTACAAGGACCTCTCGATTGCTCCAAAGTGCTCGGTCAACAGACATCGTGGTAGTCTCTGGAGATTTCAAGCTCAAGTGGGATCGCTGGACGAATCAGAAAGGCTACTTGATGGTTGACACGCAATCCCAGCTGACAATGGAGAACGCCTGCTCCAAATTTGCGTTGGCCATGGACTGTTTCTGTTGAACACTAACTTCTCGCAGAAGGAACGGCAACGGCTTACATGGAGACTGACAGCCGCTTCACAGCGCTGGACTCAAATCGACCAAATCGCCATCAGCCACCGGTAGCGAGGATCCGTTGAAGACTGCCGATCCTACTGGGCAACACCCGAGGACACGGACGATGCTCTACTGTCCCCATCGCTTTTTAAGGATGGAGGTTCAGCCTTGGTTTTGGAGTTGACGAAACTCCTGAGCTCAATATGGGAAAGGGAACAGGTTCCAACAGAATGATGTGAATCGGTGATCATACTGATTTACAAGAAGAGCGATAGGTCCTCTTGTGAGAACCACAGAGGAATTATTTTAATTAACATTGGTTCTAAACATCTGGCTAGGATCGTACTCCGTCGATTGTCTGCCGCATGGCGATGTTTGTCGAGATTGGAGAAAGATCAAGGATGTTCAAATTAAGACAAGGCATGATTGTATGAAAGCCCTGACCAGGAGACTGGGTCACATGGATCCCGTTAGGCTCCCTGGTTGGGGACCCCCAGATCATGGTCACCGATGGTTATAGACACTGCGCGGTGTAACTGGGTGGCGCTCATACATCTGATCTTTATTCTTGTAACTTCTATGCAAATGCATTATCTTCGGCTATTAGCAATCTAATCTTCATTCTACTGTTTTATCCACATGGGCAACCAAAAGATGGAAACCGAAATCGGCGCACGAAAGTGCATGGTTAATGGTTGTAAGAACTGAACTGACCTGTCTGCCGCACGTGAACGGTGCACGTGTGAGAACCAGGCTGGTTTTATACCTGGTCGGGGCTGTATCGATCACATCTTCACTCTTCGCCAAACTCTGGAGCATTGACATTCTTTTTGTAAACCCATCATCTCTTCCTAGATCTGAAAGCGGCTTTCGACTCAGTCGACCGCTCTAAACTCTTGCACTACCTTTCCCTGAAGGGTGTGTCCGGGAAGTTAATTTCAGTAGTACAATCGTTTTATACTAATAGACGAAGTCGAGTCCGAGCTTACGACACTTTTTCGCCCGAGTTCACCACAGAAAGTGATGTTCGTCAGGATCACCCTCTCTCTTCTTTTCTATTTAACTTTATCATAGATTTGATTATGGAAACAGCCCTATCCTCATGTGAGAATAGCGGTATCGATTTAATTCCAGGTGGCAAACTATCTGATCTGGACTATGCAGACAACATTGTGTTACTAAGTAAAGATCCAGTTAAATTGGATAGTTTGAGTGATAGTGTAACCATGTTCAGTATACTTTTTGCACCATCACTGTGTAAAATGTTGCTACACGATTGGGTTGGCCCAGCCCCCAACCTCACCCTGACTGGGGAAGTAGTCAATGAAGTAGAAAAATTTTGCTATCTGGGCAGCTATATCTCACCTGGCGGATGCATCACAGATGAAGTGTCGGTGCCCATTCAGAAGGCTCGGTTGGCATTTGCCAATTTGAGATATCTGGGGAGCGTTGCGACATCCGGCTATCTGAATGGTCGAGTGTATACTGTGGCTGTTAGGCCAATGCTGCTCTACGGTGCAGACAATTGGCCATTACGGGAACAGGATTAAAAGAGATTCTCGGTGTTCAAACACCGCTGTCTCAGTCGCATTGCACAAGTTTGATGGGGTAACCGGACAGCAATGCTGAGGTTAGAGGGTGAGTTTTAGGTAATCGCGTTCGTCCGCTGGAGCAAGTCGTCGACCTCCATAGACTACACTGGCTGGGGCGTGTTGCGTATGTCACCAAATAGGTGACCACGACGTGCGACATTTTACACTCTCGGCCGCCGTGCTTCACAACCATAAGTGAAGGTGGGACGGATAGAAGGCTAAGAAAACTGAGGCTTAATGTGTGGGCTTATTTCACATCGGTTACACAACTGTCTGAGGAGTTGTAGGAAGGCTCTTTTAGCCTCATCGACCGGTAGTTGAATTTCATCCTTAGCTTGGATGTTTGGTCTGATTGTAGAGCCAAGATACCTAAAAACTTAGGTTGACTCGACAAGCTCCCCGTTAATCGAGAGGGGTTGTTTCGCATGATGGTGTCGACTTGTTCCAGTATTTGCAAAAGACTGTATACTGCTAAATGAAGCTTCAGAATAATTGTAGGTTTTTAAATGTCGCTGCTTTTAGTACACACCTTAGTGTGACACCCATTAGATGGAGCCCATTGTCACTAAAATCTACTGGTTAGCTATAGTTATTGGCGCCCTTACCCTGGGATTCTGATTAGTGCATCGTATATAGCCCCAGTAGGAAAGCTACGATATTGATCAGAATGGCAGCTAGATTTCCTACATCGAAATATTTGTTGATGATTGAAATGCTGCCTACTCATTTCTAAACAATGGTATACATGGTCATTATTTCAATTTTGGTGTAAATGTTTTTGGAATACTTTTAATATCTACTAATTGTTGTTAACACGGTGTCGACAGGAAGTTACAAAGTCTGTTGTTCGTACAACTACCTTGCAGTACGGACAAATCTTGAATGCACTTTTCTACCTTATTGGTTTCCTTAACCTGCGCTGTTACCCACAGCAGACGGTAATTACCAGGTTACCGACCACGACTATGACTTTCCATGAAACATNCTCAAATAGTTTTCCCAGTTGGAGCCTCGAGAATAAATCTAAATGATGATCAAGGCTGTTCCATGAGATAGCTTTGCTGTACACGGTCAAACTCTTGTATTTATCAACTTTCCACGTTCATTTATTTCACTCCCATGTTATTTATCTTTGTACCACTCAAATTGTCGTTTAATCGCACTCTTTTTTGATTTATCAGTCAGAATAATAAGTAAAGAGGTACTTGAAGAAACCGGAGCACTGGAATGCAATGGCAAAGATTGATCAGACGGAAACCAAAACTTCACTGTATCATGCTGGTTTCAGCATATAATTAGGCTGCAGACGG